CAAGGATTTGGCATTTTCGTCAAAGGTGTGATTGTAGGATGTCAAGAATCAAATGGTTGAATCAATTTATGAGCAGGGTCTGGGATCACCAATCGATGTTATAAATATGATATGAAGTATAGGCACAATGAATAACCACCCAAAAAATTGTGCAAGACTTAGGTATTTATTGTTAGGGATGTTTAGGTATTATAGACTGTATAAAGCTTTTCAAAATCGCGAATTAGGGTTGGCCGGATAATACCATCGCTCTTGAAAAGGGGTATTGTCGCTCGAGCGAAGCAGCCACAATGAACGAGCGAGAGGCATTCTGTTTTTCTCACTCGAGCATTGTCTTGGTGAGAGGCGATCGAAAATGCGGCGTTTCTTCTTCCTTGTTCCAAACTTGATTTTTGATTCTAAGCTGCCTCATCCAACTATAAAATATTGCTCATAATTCTTTGACTTTTACACATTCAGTTTAGTCCTATTTGTTCACAGAATCGCCAATTACAATATAAAACTTAACAAAGATTAAAATCCAAGTCAAGGAGCAATGAATCAAGAGGGAACTGGGGCCAGGAATGACGCACATCAAGTTTTTGAAATCAAGTTTTTTGGAAAGCCAGCGGAGGTGCTCTGGACCTTACTGCATGAATGAATATCTGCCCTGCCAGTGTGGCAAAGATGGACTGCCATCTGGGCAGAATTTCACTTGGCAGTACAGATCCTATGGCACATGTTCGTTCCTTAATTGATTTTCATGATTGTAATACAAAGTTTTGTTTCATATAATTAAAAGCTAAAATAAATACTGTGATGTTAACATATGGAAAAGGATGTAACAAGAATCTATAAACAGACTCCAGTTTTATTGATTATACTGCAGAAACATAATTTAAGATCTGTTGTATTAGTTTGTCAAGTTCTCAGTGATTGAGCTTGTTATCGTGAGTTCATAAATGCCAACAAACAATTCATTCATTAATTACATTACAATTTGGAGGCTTATTTGGATCTCGTGTACCCTTTTGATAATATATAAATATAATCTTATGAAGAGTAACGTCAAGTGATTATAGTGGAGTTATTATTTCAAACCATTTCAATGAAGTATCTTCATCAACAGTCTTAAGACTATGTGAAGTAAGTTTCCATTGCTCTACCACCGTCTTCTCTACTGGATTTTGCAGTTAATTTCGTAATATTAGAAATGTTCGAATGGGAAAATAATCCGAACTTTGCAGAATAACCTTCATTTCATCCTCACCACTTCAATGTGGTATATGTTCTCAATACACTGATGCTGAAAGAAACAGGAGACGAAAATTTGACAAACACACGGCTTAGGCAAAATTGGGATCAAGATGACTACAAATGCAAAGGCACGTATGCAATGTGATGTCGGAAGCACTCTTTGATGAGTACCGTGGCAAGAAGACCGCAAAGGAAATAAGGGATGTATTGGAAATGTCCAAAGATACCATAATTAAAAAAAAAAAATTGTAGGTTCTGCACTTCATCAATGTAGGATGGTGGTCAATAAGAAGGTAATTGAACAATTTCTTGAAATAGTTCACATTTATAACCAATTTCAACAACATAAAATGAATATGGATGAATCTTTTATAGCCTCATTCATCATTGATAAACTCCCTTCTACTTAAAAATATTACAAAAAGAATCCTAAGCATCGGAAGGATAATCTATCCATTAAGGATTTGAACAGACATCTTCATATCGAAGAGGAGTTCGCACTCTAAAACCAAAAAAAAAAGTGAAGAAATTAAATTTATGCTTTATAATTAGTTATCAATTTATGGAATTAAATTGTCGTAGTTTTTGTGATTATGGAATGAGTTATTAACCTGTGTGTCAATTAAAACTTTTTTATATTAGCCAAACATTCTCAATAGTATATCGGCTAAGCCTAAAAAGGCAAACATACTTTTTGGGTAAAGATTAACTTTTAAAGAATTAATTAATTTTTTGAAATAAAAGAATTCAATATTTTTTGGTAAAGATGATGATTACACTTCGTTAATCAGTGGGGCCACCAACTACATTAAAATTACTGTTAAATATTTTTATTTCTTAAACTTATGTCTTTGACCTTGAGAAAATGTGAGCCTCTTGCGGTGCCTAGATGGCTAAGTGTGCATTACACAACTTCAAACCTATATCCACATCTTCTAGCCTTGTAGTAGAGTTATAGGGAGAAAATATAGTTATCTTGAAAAAAAAAAAAAAAATAATAATAATAAAATAAAATTAACCTGCTCTCCTTTCTTTTTGTTTACTTTATAGTATACTCTAAAATTTTGAATGATAATCCTTTCCGTGTTTAAAAAATTGTTCTTTTTATCTTATATGTATTAGTTAATCCTACTCTGAACATGTCATTCATGACGTTATACGATGGAACTTCATTTCAAAAAGTAAGAGAGCACACAATCCCATGAAATAAATAGTCTTAGTGAGTTGTACTTAGATTTATCCTCGATTAATAGGTCAATATCAATATTGTTTAACCTTTTCTCGCTATTTTAAAGTTTATGTTTCTAACCTTTTTATCTCAAGAAATGAAAAGATATTGATAAATACTATAAAGTAGAGATATTTCAGCAATTTTCACTCATGATTCCCACTGCCCATAGTTTGCAACTCAGTCCGAGATATTGGAAAAGTGGTCCCAAAGATTTTGCATAAACCCTAGGTTACATGCTGAAATCCCTAACTTTAGCAGAACAATTGAGAAGAAGCTGTAAAATATTAGCATGCCTAGTAAGTACGTACCAAAATCATGTCTTTCCAGGTTCAAGTGTCTGGAAAACCCTAACCCTCGTTTTTTTGGGAACTGTAAACCTAATTTTGACTAGTTATCCATGATGAGAAATTTCTGTGTATATGGATCGAATAGAAGATTGATTGTTGCTTTACAATGTGTGTGAAACCTAACACAAACGGAATGTAATTGAGACGCAATTGATGGAAAGAACGAAGAAATTAAAAGATCCAACCAAACTATTATAGAAATAATCAAAGAAGATTGATGTGTGATAATATTTGTACAACTTAATTCAAGTCGAACTACGTGGCTGTGAAATTTTTAATGTATGAAAAATGGACTAAACTTATAGAGGAAACAATAATAACATAATTCAATACAGCAAGCCGAACATTAAAACAAAAAGGAATCATAAAATTAACACTTGGACAGAAGATTAACTCAACCATGTTGCGGATTAGCCAACTAGAAGAGATTCCCTTTTTGAATTGGACATAATCTTCCAAACTTTACCGATGATATGAACGACTTTCTAGCTCCATCCAAATGTGTAAAAGATTCTAACCGCACTTAAAAGTCGAATACGATACCATTGGGTTAGCATCCAGAGAAAATATAAAGAATTTTAAACATAATTTTAATATTCCAATTAAAAGGTGTGTAGATACAATCAAAATCAATTATGAATTAAGTAAAGAGAGAAGGAAAAATAGACGAGAGGTTAGATCCAATTAAAAATACTAGAAAAAGAAACAATTATTTATATAAATATATTAGGAGAGAGAAATGTCAAAATGATAGAAACCAACAATTAATATCGATGTTCAAACCATATGAAAGCACTAAGTAATTTGCTACTCTAACAGGCCCTTTGGACAAGCCGAGGTGCCACCTCAGCCCTTGATCTGATTTGCCACCTCGGCTTTGTCACTTGAGCCTGTCCAAAAGGCCTGTCACTATAGCACTTTTCAAGGACTAATATGAAGGGGACCTTAAGCAAGGACAGAAGGGAAAAGTTGTTGAGACACAACATCGGAGTAATGAGATGATTACATGAAGATGATAAAAATTAACCAAATGTAGGGAAATGATGGTTCTATCCAACAGTTTAATCTTCTAGATGGAGTAGTCAAATTGCCTTATAAGCTCATTATCTACTCAAGTCTAATCGATGTGAGACTTATTCTGTACTTTTGCAACACAAATGGGGCAAACCCAGGCAAGCATATCAGAGCCCGTCCCATTATGAGCAAATGTGGAGGAGGCTAGGAATACGAAGACACAAAAAGAACCACACTGCCTTCCACCACGGCACCACACCCCAGAAAGATAGCCATCAACAAAATAAAACAAAGAAACCAAAAATAAATACTAATGCAAGGGACTCAAGCAGAGGAAAACAGAAAAAAGAACAAGAAGGTAAAAAATAAAAATGAGAACTATGTTTTCGGCTAATTATTTTCGAGGACATTGTTAGAACACAAAGAAAAACATTGACTATTAGAAATTATAAGTTGAATATAACTGAGATATTGTAAAACATGAATAGAATCACAAAGAAAATAATACTTAATTTGTTATAGGGTTTAAGGGAAATAATTAAATAGTCACAATTAGACGATCAAACTATTACAGGAATAATCACAAAAAATCTCAATATTTATTCAATCAGAAGGATGGCCAAAGATGCAAATTTATTCCCATTTTTAATAATATGAATTAATATTATAAATCAAACCCAAATTTTTTTTAGGATGTGATGGAGTTGAGAGATTAATACTACAGTGATGGTGAAATTAGTAAGATCCCAGACATCAAGCTTAAAGTCATAGATTAGTGCAACCTGAACAGTGAGAGTTCCATAAGGATGGAGAACATTAGGCAACAGTTGGATGACTGAAGATCTAACTATACTCTAGTTTTCGATGATCGAAAATTGAGAAATAGTCCATAAGGATGATCTACGGTTAGCAATTCCATCGGCAGTGTAAGCTTAAACAACGAGATCAGTCAAGACCTAATCAATGTTAAGATTTATTCCTAATCGATCCTGATTGCGTAGCCAAGATCCAAATAGAACCTCGTCGCTGAAATTACTGGAGCTCGCACAGATCTAGAGGGATGGAGAAATAAATTTTACAGTGTGAAATATGTATTTGTGTGGTAAAGAGCAATTTCTTTTTGATAGGGTTTTGTGAACAGTCTTTCTTTGTGCTCATTAATCAAATATACGAACTGCAATCCCAAATCTTCAAAACTAAAGGAAATTAGTAAATTACATATATCATCCATAAATCTTTTTATGTAACAAGGTACATGGCTTCCTTTGATCCCGAAAATTACAAGAAAAAGATAATAAATTTAGCAACTAAAAGTTTGGAAATTCACCTTCAAAATACTTGTCACAGTTCATTCAAGGGTCAGCTAAATCTTGTAAATTTTTATTCATCACTTACTTCTGTTTAGAAGATGAGCTTCCCCCCTTCACAAGAATTCCGAACTCTAGTGATGCAGAAGCGTCGGGCTGCGGGCAGAAGCCATTGCTGGTTACTTCATCTTTCTCTTCACTACTTGAGGCTTTGTTTTGTTCAGCCTTCTGTCTTTCAAACTCCCTAAACTTATGCAAGTACCTTAACATAATATCCGAGAAGTTATCAAACCCTAACGTACTCAAAGCCCAACAAATATCATCTCCATTCACTGTTTTTCGATTTTCCTTGTGGCATTTGTCTGAGGCTTCACTGGTTACAAAACTTATAAACTCTGATACACATTCTTGCATTGTTTCTTTGGCTTCTTTCGAGATTTTGGCATTCCGGGGGAGGATGTGTTTCATGATCCGCCCTACATTGGCTATTGGAAGCAATTTATCTTGCTCCTCAACCATTTCTAGAAGCAGATTTATCAATTAGATTTTCTAATTCGCAGACACGTAGTGTATTTGTTTTAACTACTTTATAGTGATACTGATACGTGACTCACGCACATTATAAATATATGATCGCAATATTCATGTACATGAAATTAAACTAGATGGGGATGCAAAAGAAATATAATGTATGGGAGGCATAACTTGGTGGTTTAGGTATTATTGGTATATATGTCATGTCAATGGCCCTAATTGCAAAGTGATTGTTCTTAATTGTACGAAAAAAATCTATTTAAATATTATTAGTACAATTACATGTTGCTTGTTACTTTGAGGGGGTAATGAGATTGAAATAGGGATTGGCATAAAGAGGTATTCCAACCATACTAGAATCGGACTGAACTACTCGGTGCGCTTTGACTTTAGTTAAATTGGTTCAATTCTAGGTCTTAAAATTGAAATCTAAGCACTTCTAGTTCACTTTTCAGTTCATGTTAGTGAAAAATGGTGCATAAATTATATTTAGATAACTATTATGCACGCAGACAAAAAAGCAAGTAAAAGAAAATTGTAAAAGATAAGATTTTGGTGAATCAAGTTAAGTATTCAACTTGATATCCCTAAGAAAAAATTACCCATGCACTAGAGTTCATGGTTGAATGGAAATCTCTTCTCCGATAAAACAATCTATTCTTGCAATTGTAGCACTTCAAACCGTCGAATTAGAAATGTGTTTCATACACTCTTTATGAAGGATTAGTGCACAATATCTTTAGTATGAGCAGGGTAGAATAAAAGATAATCGTATTGAGTACAAATACAAGATTCACATATATATGTGCCAAAATAAATGTCCGTAGCAATAAGACATGTCGTATGTGGACATTTTTTGTCCACGAGACGTGATTTCTTATTCGAGAAGATACATTTTAGTCAAACTTATTATAAAACATTTCATCACTTATTCCACTCACATTAATTGAATATTCCACCATACACTAATTATAACTTCATATAACTTTCATATCTTAAACGACTTACATTTGATTTTAATTTCTCATTCTCCAGAAGTTAGTTCGAGAAACTAAATATACTAGAATAATCTTCCCATGTACTAGATTAGCTTAGCCTTCGAACTCTAGAAATCAACTAAAGAATCCCGCTTAAATAATTGGTCAAATTTGATCAAAACCAATTTTTACTCACTAATTTCCAACAGTTCTATCAACAAATTGAATTTTGATTTGGTTTCAAAATTAATTTTTTTGTAATATCTCAACTAATGAATAATTTATTTATATGCATTTAGAATAATTAAAAATATTGAGGCTTAAAAACAATGCATAAAAAATGAAAGAAGAAAATTTACACACGTAAAAGTAACCAGTGGTTCCATTTTCATAATTTGGTTCTCAAAAATCCAAACTGAACTATTCATTGTTTCTCCCATCGATCCTTGAATGTCTTCAAATTTACCATCCGGTTTTTGGGAATATAAAGACTTTTGAAAGCTGAAACCCCTAAAAAATGGTGAATGTGGTCCCCCCACCCCAACCAACCCCTCCTCTTCTCAATAATCTCTATGCTTTAACACTCCCAAATGTTCTAGTCTTGATTATAATATTGCTTGTACAGTCTAAAATTAATGGACTGCATTGATAGAAGTTTGTTAATTGTTCTCTAATGGAATTAGAAAACCCTAGTTTCTGATTGGCTAATAGTGCGGTTTTGTCAATCTATTTAAGGGAATAAAGCATTTTCCTTTTACAACATTTAACTTTGTTAAGATTCGGTCAAATTCTTGTTTATAATATGCTTCTAATCGTGTTTAATGTTATCCTTTTCTCGTTGATCTATGACACACTAAATGTATGAGGCCAGTGTCTCGAAAAATATTTGTCTCCTTGGTACATCACGTTTTCTTAGTAAATAAGAATAATCATCATATTTATTGACATTTTAAGTATTTCTATTTGCTTAAAAGAGATGAAGTCGTCGATGTATGAAAATGTGTTGGAGGACAGCAAATTCATGACTGTAGATATCAATTCATGAACTTATAAGCATTGTAAAAAGAAACTGTCGCGAAATCTTGCTCCAAGGATCATCTAATCAGTATTTTTGGGGCTGAATTTGAAGTTACCTTTCGCTAGCAACCAACCAATTCAAACGGGTCTAACCCACAACCAATATATTCACCTCGGTTGCTTCTCAATCTCACTCTAAAAGACAAGATAATGGTGATGATTTGTAGCCACAAAGGTAAGAAGAAAAACAAAGAATAAGGCACAAGAATGAGACCAAAATCAAGAAGGCAACCATTGGTTTTTGGAAGCACAAACCAGCCGATTTTTCTCCACAATATGGCAGCCACATTTTTCTCCAATTCCCACACAAATCACACACTAAAAACGGCTACAGTAAGCACATATATATAGGGTTAGGTTAAGCTTTAAATTGACCAATAATAAGGTTAAATTGGCCAATATTCAAAACCATCCAAGAAGTAATGTAACTGGGTGGGTTAAGTTTAGGACTTAGTTGTTGATAATTATTTCACTCATCGACCGAGGTCTATGAAATATATTTCAACGTTTAACATCATAGTCCGAAATTTATTAGGTATCAAAACCTAACTGAAACAAGTTTAAAAGACTTTCAAATACACCAAATATATTTTCTTCGTTTCAATTTCAAGTATTATAAATGAAATGACCAGGTAATATTCGTTTAGGCAGAAAATAGGATAATCCACATTTAACTTGCATATAATTTTTATAAGTACATGATGGAGTGAGTTAAACTGGTGACCTATCTTGATATCATATTAAACCTCCTTATTTTAAAAGTTTAAATTTTTAAGAATGAAATGGATTATTTCTTTAAATGATATTTTTAACGGATATTTCATATACAATACATGAAATCAAAAGAACTTGTTAATTGCAAAATTAATCGTTAGCTGTTCTATTCTAAAAGACTATGCGGCAAGAATTGAAGGTACAACTCTGTAATGAAGAAAACCCACAAAAACCAAGGTGATACCGAACTTAGCTTCAACCGAATCAACACCACACAATCGAGACACACCAAACGGCCTATTTCTCTTGCCTCCACTCACGATTGTTTTTGAATACCCACGAAGAGATAGTCAAGAAAGGATCAATATCACACAAGATAAACCACAAAGGTTGCACAAGTAAGAGAACCGAGGATGAGCAGAGAATGGGATCACAAAGAAAGGCAGCATGCATTGTCTCTTGGAGGCACTAGAGGAGATGGAAATATAGCCCAAAAGGCCCAACACAAGAGTAATGGACTTCAAATGGGTATCGTAACCTTTCAAGTAAATGGGACGGGCCACAAGCAACATTACTAAATTAGGTTACTCCTAATGGTCCGTAGAAAATTGGGATTGGGTCGTCTCAATTGTGGTGTTGACATACCATTCAGTCATCTGGTCAATACCGACTGAAATTAAACAAAATCGAGTTCACATCATCGTCTGGAAGGTTGTTTGACAACAATTTGCCCAACAACCTCCACCTTGGTATCAAATGACTTGCAAAGAAAAAATATCTCCCGTTAGCACCTCTAATAGAAAACGAGTGAAATTGGAAATCATTTACCTGTTCCAATATTTAGAAGATCTTTGCAGCTTCTAAACTTTACCAGTAGTATCACCTTCGTGCCCATATCTGAAGGGTTGTATTGTGTGTGAATCTTTTCAAGTCTTACCACCTCTTTAGATATTGTATCCTAATGAAATATAGTATAATATCAATGTGTTTAGTGCGTTCGTGAAAAACTGGATTCTTTCATAAATGTATAGAGGACTTACTATCAGAATATACTTGTATGAAGTAGACATCTAAGCCATAGAGCCCCTTTAATTGTTTTAGTGATAGCAATATATTTTGACTCTATTGTGGATAGTGCAACAATGTGTTGTAACTGTGATTTTCAGCTAACACAAAATTAGATAAGGTAAACACGTAAGAGGAAGTTGATTTCCTACCATCCGTCTCTCTCGTATAGTCAGCATCTATAAAAACAAAGCAAAGTACCCTTACTAGCAATTTTACACATTCCTTACTAGCAATAAACTTTAGACCTATGTCACCAGTACCCTTCAAGTATCTTAATAACCACTTTATGGCTTCCCAATGTTCAGGACCCCGGATAGACATGTCCCTATTAAGAATACTAGTAGCAAAACCTAAATTCGGTCTAGTGCAAACCATCAAATACATTATAGAACCAATCACATTAGAATACGGAATTCTACTCATACATTCTACTTCACGTTCATTGCAAGATGATTGTTCTTTAGATGATAAAACAAAGTGATTAGCTAGCAGCAATGTGACAGGTTTGCAATCATTCATATCGAGTTTCTTCAACACCTTAGATATATATGGAGATTGATGTAAAAACAAAGCAAAAATTGACATATCTCTTTCAATTTTCATGTTTAGAATTCTCTTAACCTTACCTAGGTCTTTCATATCAAGTTCACTACTTAACCGTGCTTTTATATTGTTTATTCACTTAGGTGATGAGCAAATCAAAAGTATGTCGTTCACATAAAGCAACAAAAATAGATAATTATTATCGACCTCGTTGTGTTGAAAATAAAAACAGTGATCAAACTTACTTGTTTCGAAACTTATAGTGAGTACAAAAGAGTCAAATCTCTTGTACCACTGTCTTGGTGACTCTTTTAAACCATATAAGGGCCTTTTAAGAAAACACATATGGTAAGGTTTTTGCTTATCCTTAAAATCTTTTGATTGATTCATAAAGATTTGATCGTCAAGCTCACCATGGAAAAAATCAGTTTTTACATCAAGTTATTCAAGTTCCTAGTTAAAATGTGCAACCAATAATAGAAGTATACTTAACAACTAATGAGAAAATCTCATTATAATCAACACCTCCTTCTATGCCCTTAGCCACTAACCTAACCTTAAATCTTAAAGGTTCGGAGCTACTGGTACCTTTCTTAACTTTAAAGATCTATTTATAATCAACAGTTGATTTATTCTTAGGTCTAAGTACTAGCTCCCAAATTTGATTCTTCTCTAGAGAACTCATCTTTTCTTTCATCACCTT